TTATATTATTTGTAATTATTAATACAATTAAGAAATATGAATTCATAATATTAATTATTAGAGAATATCAATAATTAAAAAAAAAATAAGACCGTACCATTTGTCAATAAAATAATTTTTAAAATTGGCATTTGAGTGTATCACCGACGTGAAACATCTTGCTAATTGGGATGAGTTGGGTTTTTCCAACACAATCAGCAACAAGGAACATGTTACTAAAAGAAATGGAGTAACTATTCCCTGGATTATCAGCAAGAAGAGTCTTGTTGCTAAAAGTAAGGGGCTTACTATTCATGGAACTATCAGCAACATGTCTCATGTTGCTGAAAATGTATGAAAATTCAATTTCCCGTTTTCTGCAAATGATATTTACCGACATGAGCCATGTCGGTGAAAGTATACTTTCACCGACGTGGCTCATGTTGTTGGAAAGATTGCATGGGTGGGGAGAGAATTCAATAACCATTGTTACCGACGTGGCTCATGTTGCTAAAAAGAGTGCATGGATGGGGGAGAGAATTCCGGTAACCATTTTTACCGACATGAACTACGTCGGTGATATTCCGATTTTAGCAACAAGAAGTATGTTGCTAAAAATGGTGAAAATTTTTGGTGGCCGGTCCGGTGAATTTTTTAGCAACATGAACTATGTCGGTAAGTCTCCATTTTCAGCAACAAGAGGTACGTCGGTGAAGAAGATGCCAGGTATCAACAACATGGACCTTGTTGTTGATACATTACCAAGCATGGCTTCACCAAGAAAGGCATTAGCAACATGCTTCATGTTGCTAAAGTACTTTCAGCAACATGGGTAGCACTTTCACCGACGTGCTTCCATGTTGCTGAATAATGGAAATTTAGTAGTGATGCATTAATCTTTAAAAAAATCAATTACAAAATTACACCTTTTATAATATAAAATTATATAAATAATCATATAAATATAAATTAATTACTCTTTTTTGATAAATAACACAAGTTAAATTCCAATAAAAAAGATAGATGTGACTAAACGAAATCTTATATATTATTGAATATAATATTTTTTAACATATTAAGTGATTTATCGCATGGTGCTGACATCACGAATAATGTGTCGACACCATGCCTGTGTCGAGTTTCTGGCCCATTTTTGCAATTTCTTCAATGATAAAACGACAGATCTAGTCCTCCAGCTTTTATATCTCATAACCTAAGAGTCATTCATTTGGGTCCAAAAGGAACGATTCTTCTTTTACTTCAGTCCCTCAACTTTCAAAAGATATTTAATTAGTCACAAAACTCTTATTATTATGCATTTAAATCCTTTTTGCACGAAGAATTAAAACTTTTTAAATTTTTTAAAATCACAAATTGCAAACAGTAATACAATCAATGTTAAAATAATAGATTAAAGTAGATAAAATGCTTCTAAAAAATATAAGCATACTTAAAAATTTGTAATAACATATTTGAATTAAAAAAAATAAAGTGAGGGAGAAAAAATATGGAACTTGATTATCAAAAAATATATATATAATAAGGGAGGGGAGGAAAAAATTTTCAGTTACTTTATTTCATAAGGAGCGAATAAAGACATTATTCTTCTATTCCTCTCCCCCTTATTCATCTCAACCTAAACATACTATACTTGACTGAACTGATTTTGGATCTGTAACTAAAATTTCATGTTATTTTGCCATCCAGGATCCACAATGACAACAAATGGAGTTTGAAAAAAAGCTCACAAATTTATGATTGAAACTCATCATGTGATATTAATTAATAAAGGGGGAAATAATGAGCATAACCTTATGATTTGGAATAATCTAGATTTTTTTTTTTACTTTTTTCTCAATATTTTCTAACTAATTTTTTTCAAAGAGCATTGCTAGAAAAGTTGGGAAATTGATCTTATATATAGAAATTAGTTGAAAGCATTCATTACTCTTTTTTTCTAACAAATAGCACAAGTTAAAATTCATTTAAAAAATTAGATGTGGTTATAATAAATCTTATGCATCGTAGAAAAGATTATTTTTTATAAATTCTTCTTATTGCAAATTTTGACACGCAACTCATATGTATAACTTTTTACATTAATTTAATATTTATAATATTTTAATTTAAAAAACTCAAGATTTGGCATCTTTCATTGTTTTTTCAAGTACTAGATACGACCGATCTATTTCTACCATTTGACAACTTACTACGCTGAAATTCAACTCCACCCAACAACGGACATCACAACAATCAGGTTTTGTATGTATCAGGCTTTTACTCCTTGGTTGCAACTAGAAGAAAAATAAAATTATTCATTTTTTGGTGTTTCGAAGAAATAAAATTGAAATGATTGAATCGAATGCGATTGAACTTTGAAGAATGAATTGTTGATTTTTTTTCCCCAAACATAAACGACATACAGGGTTAAATTCATAAAGCTTGAGAAGTGGGGCAGACGAGGGTAAAATTGTATTTTA